TAGAAACACGATTAAAACAACAACAAAATTTATATGAAGCTGTTCGATCGGATCGTAATCTTTATTCGAAAAATTTAATTGAATCTCAAGATGAAATTGGTGAAATGAAACGTAAATTGAAAATTATGAATCATCAAATTGATCAATTAAAAGAAGAAATTCAAGGTAAAGAACAAGAATTAGTACGTGCACAAGCTGAACATGAAAAAGTTAAAAAAGATAAAGATCAATTAATGTTAAATGTTGAACAATTAAAGAAAGAAGCCATTAAAAAAGAAGAAGCTTATGCAAATCAACAATCAGAATTTGAACGTTTAAATAAACAATTATCTGAAGCTAATGATGAACGTAAAAAACAAATGAAACAATTACAACAAGTTAATAAATAAAAAGTATTTATTTCATAATAAAAATAATTTTTTTTTTTTTTTGTTTTGATTAGGTCATTGCTGAACGTGATGTTCTTGGTACACAACTTGTTCGTCGTAATGATGAACTTGCACTTCTCTATGAAAAACTTAAAATTCAACAATCAACATTAAATAAAGGCGAACTTCAATATAAAGCTCGTCTAGAAGATTTACGTATATTAAAATTAGAATTAAAAAAATTACGTCATGAAAAAGGTACATTACAAGATAAAGTTTCAAATACAGATGATCTTAAACGTGAAGTATTTCATGTACAACGTGAATTATTACGTGAACGTACACGTTGTCGTGCATTAGAAGAAGAATTAGAAAATCCTATGAATGTACATCGTTGGAGAAAATTAGAAGGTAGTGATCCATCAACATTTGAATTAATACAAAAAATACAATTACTTCAAAAACGTTTAATACAAAAAACTGAAGAAGTTGTACAAAAAGAATTATTAATACAAGAAAAAGAAAAATTATATGCTGAACTCAAACGTATTTTAGGTGAGTTTTAAATGATTTTATTTAATTATTTTAAGTTTTGTATATGAAAAATTGATAAAAATAAGTGATCTTCTTTACATTAGAGTTGTGTATCGCGCTTAAAAAATCAAGATGATGAGAGTACGAAGAATGATAGTGACGATCATAGTTTAAAATCTTCTCGACTGACGACGTGATGACACTTAACGAAAACTGAAAAAAATTATTCTCATCGATTTTTCTCTTGTGAAAAATAGTAGTACTTCATTTATGAACACTTACCTAAGAGCAATAAAAAGTTGAAAAATTTATTAGACAACATGTAACAGAACATATCTATACCTATAGAGTGTTCATTTTCATATTAATTTGTTTCGTAGTTAACTTTGCGAAAATTTAAGTTCAAGATGAATTTATATTTTACCATCATAATTAAATGTACTAACGGTGGAGTGAGATCAATCATTCATTTTGACATATTTCTAGCAATCGTCTTTAATAGCTAGAACGATTAAGGCACAACTATATTCGCAATGGTTGTGCACTCATCTACTTTGCAGTATGAGTCAAAAATATAAGATACCCATAATTCAAGATAGATCTATTTTACTGTGTATTTTCTTTTCTTTTTGTAGCTCGTCAACCTGGTCCAGAAGTTGCCGAACAATTATCTATATATCAAGAAACATTGAAAGCTAAAACAAAACAACTTAAATCATTAGCAAGTGAAGTTAATATGTATGAAAGTCAAATAGATGAATATAAATATGAAATTGATAAACTTAATAAACAATTAACTGAAGTACGACAAAAATATTTTCTTCAAAAAAAGAAAGAAGCCATGGCTAAAGAAAAAGAACGTCTCTCACAAATGCAACAACTTTCAACAAGCATCAATGGAATTACATTACAACAACCACCACCCGATCTTATTCAACCAAATCGATCAAGGTAAATCGATAAAAATTTCTTTAATAATTTTAAATTTATCTTGTTTTCTTTTTTAGCGATCAAGCACGTTTTACTGGTGGTGGTTTCAATCTCAAATCCACACCAAAACCTTCGGGTGTTACTGCTTAACTTTTTTTTTAAAATTAACTTCTCAAATACATATAATAAAAACTTTTATTTTCAGTTTACACTTTTAAACTATTCAAATAAATTGAACAGATAACCTGCGATGCAAAATTAATTGCCAATATCTCGAGCGATTGTTTGTCAAAAACAAGCATAGTAGATAGTCAAGAGTTTTATTATTGCAAAGAAAAGTTGCTTATCATAGATTGATTGTTTTATTCTATCTATTTTGCGATACATTACCTCAGCATACTTTTACTTAATTCTGGAGAAGTGGAACGAAGAAGTATTTAATAAGAGAGCTATTGCTAAGAATGTTCATCGTGAGAGAAAGGCGATAAATTTTTAACTCTATATTTGCAACATAAAGAGCGTACATTTCTCAATTATTTTAGTTTACATGTGCTTAATTTTAACAAACAAGCTACTATAATATAGCGTATCAATTTTGTTAAAACTTTTAGAAAAATGCTCTACTCTTTAGCCATGAAGATTTGAGAATTAAAAATTTTTATGTAATGAGTTGAATTTTTTTCATCAAGTATTAGTTTGAAAGAATATCAACAAATATTTACAGAACCAACGTACGAATTCAATCATTTTTGCATTCTTTCTTCGAAATATATTCCATTAGAGAAACTTAACATAAAGATTAATCCTAAAACCATTGTCAAATATAATAAAAAGAAGTCAAGATACTCATACGTAAAATAAAGTGGTTTTACACAATAAACATTTTCGGTGCTCAACCCATCAGTTTAATATACATAGGTCCTTAAAAAATGATAATGTGGACACTCCTGTTGTTTGGTTGAACAACAATATATCGAAAAAAATATGCATTATAAGTGATTACATAAGTTTCACATGATAGTCAAAGTCATGACGCATATTTGCATCTTCAGAACACTAAAATCTGTCAAACTTGTTTTTTTACTTCCATTTGTGTATCTCAAAATGCATGCTTCTGGAAAACTCATTGTGCTAGAGCAAATTTAATAGAAAGTGTTAAAGATCATGATGAAAAATCGAATGCCAACCAATAAATTATGTTGAATATGAGTAATCAGATAGTAAGTGGTTAAACTATGCATTTATCTCAATTTCCATTTTTGCAACGAAATTTTACTTTTTGTTTTCGAGTGAAGAAGGTCAACTAAGTCCTACAAAAAGCATTCATTTTTCATTCTCTTTTTATATCAACATAATAAAAGGGAATAGAACATGATATAGTTCGATGGTCATTTTTTCTTTTTCCTCAAATTCATTTGGAATAAATATATCCGATACGAAATTTGTACTTGGCACATTATTCTTTTTACCAATAATAAAAAACTAGAAACTTCGTTAACCTTTGAATTGCAGAACTATGACTGTAGGTTTCAGCTATATCTGTTACTTTTACATCCTAGCGTATGCATATTATGTTGATAGATTAAGAGCTGTAACATTAGATTTTGAATGAGTTCATCATTTGTATAAAACAACTTTAATATAATACTTTTGTTTGACTAATAGTTTTAAACTAAAATTGAGGACATTCATCATATACTCGAGTTTACCTTCTGTTTCATACGTTGTCAATCTCATAACTTCACCTTGATGTGTTCTTTTATTCTTGCACTTATATTTTTTCATTGAAATCAGGCGATAATTTATTGAATGATCGAACTCTCAAAAACTAGAAAAGAACTCATTGATTGTTTATCTAGTAAACATCAAAAGGTGATAAATAAAATTATTTTCTTTATGAAAAGCGTGATTGCAAACACACTGAAGATTTTTTTATAGATCAAGTATTTATTTAATCGAATAGTTCTTTTTCTTCAATATAGTACATCAAATGCAATATTTTTTTTTTGAAATGCTGTTGATAAAATATTTTCTTGCAACAAAAAGAAACAATTTTTTCATAGCTTTTTTTGTTTTTTACAAAAAATAAAAATAATATTGTACAAAAGAGAGAGAGAAAGAGAAATATTAATAAAGGCATTCTTTTCATTTATAAAAATTATACTCAATTGATCAACTGAAAATGTCAAACAAACGGCCTATTAAAGCTTTTTATGTTTCAAAGAAAAAACCTACATCAAATAGTAATATTATTCCACATAAAACTCATAGTTCACCGGTAGTTCCATCATTTGCTGTTATTGATGAAATTCGTTCTCCTGATCCCCCATCATATTCACCATTTGGACGAATATCGCAAATATCAAATTTTAGTCAACGAGAAAACACATGGAATTCATCAAAAAAAAAATCATCTGACGACTCATCTTTATCTGAAAATGGCATTGAAGATGAAGAACACAATGAAGAAGAAAATTTCAAGACATGCATATTCATCATTATTGGTCTATTAGTTGCTGCTTGTTTAATTGCAGTGGTTGCCTTACTAACTGTTATGGTTGTCAATAAGAGCAAAGGTAACATCAGATTGACTTTTGTATAAAATCATATCCGAAACAAAACTATTCTATAATAGCAAGATGTTTCCGATGTGAAAAAAAAATCTGACTTTTTTTAATTATGTGATAGTGACAGAATACTAGATAGTTTAATAATGTTTTCATTAGAGATGTTGATCATGGCTGCAAAATCTACCAGTGGTGGGTTGCGATGGTCTATGTAAAAATTTGCCGCTGTCATAATGCTTTTCGAGAAATCTTTCGAAAAACTCTTTCGTCAGTGTACTAAATTAGTACAGTTAGATTTAATCTATCAAACTCACCACTGTTCTAACTATTAGACTTGTAGGCATCCAGATCAGGTGCAAATTCATGCTATTTCACAATCTCTCTAAAAAAAAGAAGCTGACCCACTTCTGCGGCGATAGTATTTTTGAAACATCTCCGGTGCTGTGGTGATTTAAAAGAAAAAGGTGTCCTACCACGCCACTGATACCATTGCGGCAGTGGCAGGACCGTTATGGATACCTACGTCTACCTAAATCCGCTGTTGGATTTTTACGGATTTGATATTCATAAATACGCTAGAATTTTAATTATTTCCATTTATCTAGTGACAAAAACATCGACTACTACGACAACTACATCTACTAGTACTACAGCAACCACGACGACTACAACGACGACCACCACGACGACCACAACAACTACCACGACGACGACTACAACAACTACCACGACGACGACCACTACAACGACTAAAACGACTACCACTACAACGACTAAAACGACTGCCACGACGACAACTAAGACCACTACGACGACCACTTCGACAACTACAACGACTACTACAACAGACACGACTACGACCACTACAGACACTACCACGACTACTACAGATACTACCACGACTACGACCACTACAGACACTACCACGACTACTACAGACACTACCACGACTACTACAGATACTACCACGACTACGACCACTACAGACACTACCACGACTACGACCACTACAGACACTACCACGATCACTACAGACACTACCACGATCACTACAGACACTACCACGATTACTACAGACACCACTACGACTATTACCACAGAATCAGTTACTACAGAAAGTAAGAAGAAAAATTTTCTAATTCGTACTTATGTTTCAGTTGCACTGCTACTTTTGTTTTAAAATCGAGTACATTCTTTTTGTAAACAAAAATATGATTAAACTTAATGCCAGAAATTAAATTATAATGTTTTGATTTAATAAGAGTATTATAGATTTTTGTTAAAAATAAATCCAAACCTGTTTCTGATTGTAACTAGATATTCATACTTTATTGTTTCTTTCGATTTCAGCTACAACAGAACTTTCAAGTGATTTAACAAGTAAGTTCTTCAATTGTTTCCAGATACATTATATACATTCATGTAATTAATTTTTCTAGTGACTACATGAATATAGTGACAACAACATAGATAACAGCACCTATTGTCATTCGTTCAACGATACGCTTAACAACTAATACAACAAACATTATAATGACATCCCAACTTAATTTATTAACATTAGTAGTGAAACAAACTAAAATTTCAAACCATGAAAATCTTTTCTTATATTCGAGAAATAAATAAATAAATAAATATATATATATATTCATTGTCCATGCTCATGAGTGTATTTAAAATCGTGACTGATTGTTACGAAGTAATACGAACCGTAAAGATAAATCTATTGTTATCTTATGTTAATATTTCATAAAATAATTGAAGAATGTAAAACCTGTAAACTACAAAATGAATTTCTCAATCAATTTGTGAAACAAAATTTTTATTTGATACCACTAGTTGTTGTAATTTTATTGTATTCATTTATTGATAAACTGTCATCATTTAATCAGAACGCTCCGAAGAATGGCTTTTTTAAAAGCACTTTTAATATTTGGCGTTCGTTTTTCTGTACCGCGTTGCTAGAACCTTGGGAAGAATCGCAAAAATTTTGATTTAAACTTACACTCACTGTTTTGTTTGAAAATATAGGTGAGTTCCATAAAATACAGTTTTATGACCTACTCTAAGTTTGCTATCAGTTGGGAAAATATCAGATTTTTCAAAGTATACTACATCTATCACGAGTTGCCAATGATGCAGAGTCTGTTCTTCGATCCTTAACACATGATACAACCTTTTTTTCTCTGTTGAATAATTTGATTTGATTATTATATTCATTACACAGTTGTTTGATACATTTAAATTCATATATTTTTGATTTTGATATTGAGTGTTTTGTTGAAAAGCTCGTGTATTATGTTTTATAAAAAGTTCTGAAAGTTTTTTTGGTCTTTTTATTATTGAGATTTTTATTTTATTATTGATTATCTTGATATATAAATTGTTAGAACAGCCAATATCGATTAAATTTAGTTCGAAGTTTGTCAAAAAACAGTATTTTATCAAATATATCATTCATTAAATTGTTCACGAAGTTCATTTTTGAATTCATAAGTTTGATGAATCCTCGAGTAAGTAATAAAAGCTAATTTTTGAATTGCCTACTTCGAAGTCGATTCATAGCAAGAATTTTCATAAATATGGAACTGAATTTATCAAATGGACATGAATCTAACTGATGACTAAGTTGTTCATAAGAATTTTAAATCAGCTGCTTTACGAAAAACCAATACATCAATAAAAAAAAATTTTCTGTTAATAGCAGTAAGATTTTAATGTTTATCATCTTAATAAAAGGCATACTCGACATAATTGATTACAATTAATTGCTGTTATTAAATCGATCAATAACTTTCAAAAAAGTTAATATTTGATTAAAGATAAAATGAATCTTATGTTCAGATGCTAATAATCTTTTCTACACTATAAGGTCATATTTAAACTTAGAATCTATATGTTTAATCTAGTAACTTGTTGAAAAATTTCTCATAGAATGCTAAAAAAACTGTACATGTTTCTGGCAAATATCTATGAACTGAGAATATTCTCAGTCGGGTATCCTGCTGACAGCTGATCCATTATATGGATGTCTTGAACTTAGCACATTCACTATGAATAATTTTCTTATCAAGTACAGATCAAAATTACAGTACTGTACAGAAACATTCTTTCATACCGGTACCTGTACCTGATCCGTGAGTTGTTTTATTCTAACAGATCGCTTACAGTTTATCACAATGACCAATCAACAGTATGATCAAGAATGTCGTTATTAAACTGTAACATGAAAAACATATTTTCAAATTCTTTATCAACTATGATGTTAAACAGAAAGCTTACGTCTCCAAACATTGTTACTTTTCACAAGCACACTCGACTTCCGAATTGCAGTACTTTAATCTAAATGTTAGCGTTTTTTTGAATTTTGACAAGTTTATTTACTTTCTCTCACTAATTGATTATTTCAAAATGCTTTTCATTGTATGATAACAAATATTGATCCTTTTTTTTTCTTTAAGAAAAAGCTTACCAGTGCAGCGTCTTCCGCTGCTAAAATGTGGAACTCGCAAACTCTGACTTCCATAAATTTATGGTATAGTCTTATATATTTTAAAATAATTTATTTAAAAAAAATACAATCTAAACGAGTGCAACTAAATTTAGGCAATTTTTATAGTTGATAGACGTTTTCTGAAATATTATCCTTTCCAAATTATTTGCATTTAGAACTAAATGGCAGACGGACTAAACCCATGGTGCCAACTCGGTGTGAAGCACATTCCCAAAGTGAATTTATCATTTATGAGATCATAAAACTTTCCAAGTGTTAAATTTAGAGACAACATATATTGGTATAATGTGCGATGTGCAACGATGAGTTTAATGTACGTTTCATTATGTACCCTAGTCGAACATCTTGTAAGCAAGATCTTAGGTACAGAAAAGTGAAAGATCTTCAAAACTTAGGTATAACATAATCGTATTATCTTGTATCAAGATCTTGAATTAGATCTTGGGTACAGATTCATAAGATCTTAGGGTGTGGGTGTGGATGTGGGTGCGGGTATAGATGCAGAGAACACGTATAATGACACCCACACCCTACAGTTAGAGAAGGACAAAAGGGAAAATAAATTCGTTCAGCACATTCATTCATTCCGTCATACGATAAAGATTGCTCAAGAAGTAAACATCACTTCGGCGAGCGATGTGAATGCTCATAAAGATAAGATATATGAATGATATCTGAATTTAATCTAAAATACTGTTCAACTTACGAATAAAATCACATATTTACTGTATACGAATTGTGAATAAGAATTCTCATTGACAGCTGGCCAAGCTTAGAAAACATGAGCAAAAAGATTCAGATAACTCTAATAGCATAAGTTTTCAGAATTGAGTGATGTAGAGGGTTAAATTTCACCTTAAGTTCTGCGTTTATTTTTGCTTTTTCTTAGGATAGTATTTGTGAAAAACTTTCTTGTACATTCCATCGAGATAGTTGACAAAATACGATGATTCGTAGAAAAAATATATATGGGTTAATTGCAACTTTATTGTACCGTTGTATTCTTGAACATAAAATTTCAATATCTCGAGTTCTATTCAACCGATCCTTGCGATTTTTTCACCATATGTTCTACTAAGAAGTCCCCACTAACACACAAAAAATCACGAGGCTAACTTGAACAAGTCCTGAGATATTGGCTGTACAAGGCTCAAAATTTCGATATCTGCTGCCGTTTATTGGACGAAAAGTCGTATGGCCAATTCGTTACTTCTTATTTGAATTTTGACAGTTGATGATATTTATAATATACAGTCTGCACTTCTCGAATATAAAACTCATTGGTTCGTTCGACGTTTTTTTTATTATAGTTTTCTCGAAATATCATGAGTACAGACAACCCTCGATTTTCTGTCACGCGAGATTAAAATTCATTTTGCTACGCAATGACCCGTCTGAAATTGATCGGGCTGCTGTTAAATAAAAGACAGTTGGTGCTATATAAAACCACTAAAGACGATGAGATAATTGTCCTACTTCTTCTTTAGAAGAAATATAAAATTCAATTTAAAAATTCGATTGTCACACAAAATGTCACGCGAGATTTTTCAATTTGTTTGGGGCATAGTTTTCTTATACTATGCCAGAATGCGACCGAACTTTGATCATTTTATTCACTCATTGTGCCTAATTACTGGTTAAAATATCAGAGTCCGAAGACCTGTCTATCGTGCAAAAGAGGGAAAATATCGTCAATATGTCACGCGAGATTTTCTATGAGGAAAGTGTCACGCGAGATTATTAATCGGATAAAGTGCTCTAATCAAGTGAAACTAAAGGTGGTTCCGCATAATACATATATGTATCGCCATAATTTAAAAAATTTTTTAATATATTTGACAAAACTTCCGTATGTTGAAAGTTTAATATATCGAGGCAGAACAACCATATTTTAGCAAATTTCATGTGTTTTTTTGCGTGGTTTTCGTGTATCATAGCCAAACTCATAGTGGTAGTCTGGAAACGTCAATTATATTCTTCTCTCATATGGTACTGTACAATGCACTACTCATCTATTTGAAAATCGAAAAAAAATTCTCCGATCATTTTTTCATGAAACGTTACAATAAAGTTGCAATTAACCCATATATGTCATGCACCTTGATGTTAATAACAACCATGATGAAAGGGAATAAACCAAATGATGTTAACCACACACTGAGCACATAGAATTTTTAAGAAAGTAATTTATTCTTCTTTCTCTCTTCTTAACGGGGCATGTAAGCACTGAAAACTATTCAGTTGTTGCTAGGCATCAATATAAGAAAAAAGAAAAGAAAAAAAATAACATTGAAGAAGTTATTATGTGATGCTTACAATAGCTTACTCTTGTCAAAGTTGGAAAGTAACTATGATTTTAATATCAAATAAAATGAAAATCAGGTTTATAACTGTTTTTTAGTGATGAGCTATTGTGACGTTCAAGTGTGCCACACAGTTAATAATAACATTTGCTGCAACGCATGACATAAACAATAATCAAAAGAGTAATCGAAGAGAATTTTATTGAGAAAATATTTCTTTCTTGTGTCCTTCAACACTAAAATCGTCTTAAAAAATTCACTATTACTCTTTGTAGTGCAATTTTTTAACCGAATGATAACGAAATCTACTATAATAGATGTTTTGTAATCGAAATAGATAGAGAAAAAAATTGATTTCTATCTGTGATAAATATCTCAATAATTCAGCAAAAATGAAACAAGATCATATCGCCTTTGATTATTATTCTTGTTCTATACGGATAGAATTGAAGGTTATTCAAATGTCGATTGAATGCCAACGCAAATTATCAATCTTTTGATGGAAATTTTTTTGAAAAAAAAAGCCAATGGCTACGTTATGTCTGATCTTTGTCAAAAATAATAGAAGAGCAGATATCAGACGCATAAGACGAGAAATGTTATTTCACTGACACTAGTATTTTTCCGATTACGATGACAGTGCCTATTCTAGAAATTCTTTGAAACCCGTCACTACTGAGCTGCAATTATAAAAGACACAAGACTTCTGCGACCCAAGAATCTCCTTCGTCATTGTGCTAAATTATCCTAGTTAGGTTGAAACCATCAGATTCACA